AAAGATGTAGGTTACCATGTTTGAAACAATAATTCATGAAAGATGTAGGTTACCATGTTTGAAACAATAATTCATGAGAGATAATGGTTACCATGTTTGAAACAATAATTCATGAGAGATAATGGTTACCATATTTGAAACAATAATTCATGAAAGATGGAGGTTACCATGTTTAAAAAATTAATTCATGAAAGATGAAGCTTAGTTGTTTAAAAAATCAATTTATTAAAGGGAAGCATACTGTTGATATACCAAATAAACAAACACACAACACAGATTTCTTTCTTGGAAATTGATACTCCATTTTGAACCATTAAATCACAAAAGATGGAACTTACCGTGAACATCTAGAACAATCAACGCCCCAAGAGTAATTCTTTTTCCTGGATCTAATTTTCCACGAACTAGTCCAACAATCTCATCAATCTGCTTGTTGCTCACCTTTAGGTAATTCTACAAGAATTCATTATGTCAATTGAGATTAGAGAACAGAAATTATTGAAGGTAATACAGAGACATGTCTAGGTCAGTTAAACACATGTAAGAGATTAAAACATTTATAAACAATTCTTCCTAAAAAAAGAGTACTCATGACTCTTTGGTTAATCAAAATCATACAAATTATGGAATCAAAGAAGAAGAACATAACTTATTCATATTCTTCATTTTTATTACAACTTTTAATAACTACAGCTTTGGATTTTTCAAAAACAAAAGCTTTTTCTAACCAAATAGAAAAAACTAGAAACAGTGCATATTACAATCACTAAATATATGTTTAAAAAAAAGTACTTTCATTTAATATTAGATGTAAGAATAATTTTTTAAAAAAGGTAAACATTTTGTAACATTTATAATCACTGTTAAAACATTTTAGTCAATAGAATGACAGAGTCCTTGAGAACACAAACTCGATTGTGTTACGAGTACATATACCATAATAAGTTACATAAGTTGTACGTATGTAGACATGTTTTACTTATTTTTAAAACCACAGTAATTATCCTACCTTAAAAACTTCCTTAGCTGGCTGTGAAAGTTTATAGTAAAAAAGTTCAGTTGATTAACTAAGGTCTAGAAATATCTAAAAAATATTAAAGTTTAAAAAATAAAAAATTCAATTATAACTAATGAAGTAACGGTAAAATTACGTTTCACTTTACACTTTCATGGTGATGTTCCTTTTTCTCAGTTTGATAGTGTAGAAAAAGGCACGTGAAAGTGATATGAAAGATCTCTTAACTTCAATTAATTGGCAAATTGTCTGTATCGCTTAATTTTTCCCGTTTCTTACTAAATTCTACTTGTCAGTAACATTTCTAAAACATCATATGAAATTTTTTTATTTTCATGTTTCAAATTTATTGTAAAAGAACTGTTCAGGTACAGTATTATAATCTTGAGATTTATGTGTTTTAAAGCTTTGATATGAACTGGAATTCCAAATGTCCAATCGTTGATGTTTATCTGTTTCCAAACTTAGAAACCTTTAACTGTCTTCTGGTATGAACAAGTTGAGCTCCCTTGATGTTTATCTGTTTCCAAACTTAGAAACCTTTAACAGCTGTCTTCTGGTATGAACAAGTTGAGCTCCCTTGATGTTTATCTGTTTCCAAACTTAGAAACCTTTAACTGTCTTCTGGTATGAACAAGTTGAGCTCCCTTAATGTTTATCTGTTTCCAAACTTAGAAACCTTTAACAGCTGTCTTCTGGTATTAACAAGTAGAGCTCCCTTGATGTTTATCTGTTTCCAAACTTAGAAACCTTTAACTGTCTTCTGGTATGAACAAGATAAGCTCTTGCTGGTAATTTTTCATTTCAGTGTTTAACACTTCAGCATACAGATTCTTGTTTACTGGTTTGTTTGTATCAAGTTTTATATTTACAATCATATATTTTATCACAATTTTAAACAGTAACAAGCAGCAACAGATGAGTACTGTGACAATATCATGTGGTCATTTTCTGTGTCACAAGCGGTATCTTTTAAAACCTGTACGCTAGAAGTAGACAAATGGCTGAGAGCAAAACATATAACTGATTAACGTTTGATAACTACCTTTTCATTTATGGTATATACATAAGTATAAAAGTTATTACCTAATATTTGTGGTATATACATAAGTATAAAAGTTATTACCTAATATTTGTGGTATATACATAAGCATAAAAGTTATTAACTAACATTTGTGGTATACATAAGTATAAAAGTTATTAACTAACATTTGTGGTATACATAAGTATAAAAGTTATTAACTAACATTTGTGGTATATACATAAGCATAAAAGTTATTAACTAACATTTGTGGTATACATAAGTATGAAAGTTATTAACTAACATTTGTGGTATACATAAATATAAAAGTTATTACCTAACATTTATGGTATATACATAAGCATAAAAGTTATTAACTAACATTTGTGGTATACATAAGTATAAAAGATATTACCTAACATTTGTGGTATATACATAAGCACAAAAGTTATTAACTAGCATTTGTGGTATAAACATAAGTATACAAGTTATTACCTAACATTTATGGTATATACATAAGAATAAAAGTTATTACCTAACATTTGTGGTATACGTATGTATAAACGTTATTACCTAAAATTTGTGGTGTATACATAAGAATAAAAGTTATTACGTAGCATTTGTGGTATACATAAGTATAAAAGTTATTACCTAACATTTGTGGTATATACATAAGTATAAAAGTTATTACCTAACATTTGTGGTATATATAAGTATAAAAGTTATTACCTAACATTTGTGGTGTATACATAAGAATAAAAGTTATTACCTAACATTTGTGGTGTATACATAACTATAAAAGTTATTACCTAACATTTGTGGTATATACATAAGTATAAAAGTTATTGCCTAACATTTGTGGTATACATAACTATAAAAGTTATGACCTAACATTTGTGGTATACATAAGTATAAAAGTTATGACCTAGCATTTGTGGTATACATAAGTATAAAAGTTATGACCTAGCATTTGTGGTGTACATAAGCATAAAAGTTATGACCTAGCATTTGTGGTATACATAAGTATAAAAGTTATGACCTAGCATTTGTGGTATACATTAGTATAAAAGTTATTACCAAACATTTGTAGTATATATACACCTGGAAAAAAGTTAAGCACCCCCGTGTTTTTTTCAAGTGATTCAGATTCGACGTTCTTGTGACTGATTATAAATTACCATTCAATCTAAACGTGTTTATCAAATG